CAGTAACTTAACAGCTTTTCTGCAACTATCATAGGAGACAGAGTCCATGAAATTCAAATTTTCTCAAAAGTGTTAGCTAATTTAATTTAATTAGCTAGAGGTCATATTCTAATGCACTTGACATCTACATTCTTTTTCATTCCCATTTAGAGTTAGGAGAAGTCATTTACTAATCATAAGGTTATTATTAAAAATTGTTTATAATTCAAAGGAGGCAAATGTTAATTAGGAAAATTACAAATGCCACAAATTAGAGCAACACTTTCTTTCTGGGGTACTATTCATGGTATTTGGGAATTTAGTGTTAGATGATTGTAGTAATAACGATAGATAATTAAATTAATGTGTTCAAGTGGCCCTATTATATCTGAGTGTGTGTTTATATTCATGTGAATACAAAAAAATGAGCATTTTAAGATAATATTGTTCCCTGCTTATAGTTTATAAACATGAAAATATTATTAGCATAAATTATATTTGTCCAAATACAATGTAAATATAATGTCAATCCAATAAATATTTCATTATTAAACAAATTTAGAAATATAAAGAGAAATAATGTATCACCTTCTTCCTACTATTAAATCAAATTATATACATAAAGTTTCTTGTGAATGTATCTTTGTAAGAAAACATGTTGCTTTAAGACACATTCTAAAGTTAATTACTCCATATATTTTTTATTTAAACAAATTATCACAACTTGAAGTAGAAATTATTTAAAAATGCAGTCTTCCACTGGATCTAAAAAAAAGAAAAGACCATTTTTCCAAAAGCCTTTTTTGCTACTGATAATTAGTTTAAAGTAACACATCAGAACACAACTAGGAAAATTTATTCAACATTGTTTACAGTGCTGTTTAACTTCACCTAATTATTAAGATTGTTCTATAAATATTTGTGTAATGGTTTTGCTTAACACTGTTTAATTCACTTCATAGTATGTGATAATAAACTACTCTCCTATGCAAAGAATTTAAAGTTGTCTTTAGTATAAGTTAATTTAAAATGTCCACATTTTGAATGTTTAGCTTTCTTTGAAGATTTAATAAAAGATAAATAAGAAACCTTTCAAATGACAACACGAGAAAGCTCTTTTTATGCTGTGCAAATTCTGTGAATGTTATGTATTGCTTAATTGTAGCATAAAAAGAGGCATTATCTACTATCTATTAAAAGAATACTTTGATTTAAAATAGAGAACTGGGGGAAAATAAGAAGCCATTAATTAGTATCACCTGAAAACATCTCTAAATATGGACAACACCATCATTTTAAGCACACATATTCTTAAATTGACTAAAAAGAATGTGTAAGTATCATTGAAGCTTCCTTTTACAAAGAACAGCAGATTTTAAGTGACAACTCATCACAGTAAAAGAGGATGAAAATTAGTATCACCTGAAAACATCTCTAAATATGGACAACACCATCATTTTAAGCACACCTATTCTTAAATTGACTATAAAGAATGTGTAAGTATCATTGAAAGTTCCTCTTACAAAGAACAGCAGATTTTAAGCGACAACTCATCACAGTAAAAGAGGATGAAGTGTGCATTAATATTTTAAAGCAAACTCTTTTATGTACATGGGATAAATATATGGAATTTCCTTTTTCAATGTCCCCCTCCCCAATATTATTCATTGAGTTAAATAGAAGCATATGTGGGAATGATTACAAGAACTATCGTCTGTAAGAGGATTGAGCATGTACTCTAATACCCTACTTGACTGGATTTCTCCCCTGGCTCAGCTACTAACTAACCTGGTCAAGTCTTCTAACCTCTCTAATTTATCTCAGGCTAAAATGGGAAGCATAACCTGATCTACCTCATAGGATGTCCATGAGAATTAAAGTTACAGACTTTATACTAGTACACATGATGAGTGCTATGTAAGTTTAGCCACTGTCATTGACAGTTACTTCACTGATATTAAATGCCTATAATTGCTTTTCAGGTTCCATAGAGAAGTATCCAAAACAATAAATGAGTGATTTAATAATCAAATGCACTGATGAAGGAAACCATGTACTACAAATGTAGGAAGAACCGTGTAGGAGATAAATAAGAGAGCTTGCATCTTTTTTCCAACTTTGTTTTCCAGACAAAATTTGTGTTGGAAGTGACATTCGTTTTGGTAAGGCACTCCACCATCACTGTCCAAGAGATAGCCTGTCTCTGATGGGCTAGGATGGGTGGTGGTGGGATGGTGGTGGTGGTTAGGCTTGGATTGAAGGCCAGCGGGTGAGTGCACTGAGTTCTTTTGATTAGCTGAACTGAAATTTCTGTGTAAAAATACTGCTTAGACATTTAACATTTTTCATAAAAATATTTTATGCTGCCCGAAGTATCTCCTGTATTGCCTCTGTTTTCTTTTGATGTAACCTTTTTCTTTGACAGCATTGTTGGGTTTGGGCACAATGTTTCAGCGCATCTTTCCTGTTTCCTTTTGCAGCTACTGTTGCTCCTTTTATTGGTGAGAGGTATTTAGAGAAGTCACAGTCCAGATGCCACTCCATTACCATTGCCTTTTCAAGAGACAGAGCTAGTGAAAATGTCTTTTAGAACAAAACAAATGCATGCCCTCATATTTCTCTAATTCAAGTTTGTTACTGCAGAATTTGCATCTAACCTGTTTTATTTTAAACCTGTGTTTATTTTTTCTTATACTGAAAATTTTGGTTCCAGAATAAAGTCAATTTTATTATTTCTCTGCTTTACCCAATCACAAATAAATTAGTTTCAGTCTTTTAAAAAAATATATTTTATTGATTTTTTACAGAGAGGAAGGGAGAGGGATAGATAGTTAGAAACATCAATGAGAGAGAAACATCAATCAGGTGCCTCCTGCACACCCCCTACTGGGGATGTGCCCCCAACCAAGGTAATTTTTGCTTCTTCGTATTTCAAATCTTTGACTTGATTCTTGCGATCCTCTAGTCTGCTGTTGGAACTCTGTATAATATTCTTTTTTTTAAAAAAATATATTTTATTGATTTTTTACAGAGAGGAAGGGAGAGGGATAGAGAGTTAGAAACATCGATGAGAGAGAAACATTGATCAGCTGCCTCCTGCACACTCCCCACTGGGGATGTGCCCCCAACCAAGGTACATGCCCTTGACCGGAATCGAACCTGGGACCCTTGAGTCTGCAGGCTGATGCTCTATCCACTGAGCCAAACCGGTTAGGGCAGTTTCAGTCTTATAACACCATTATAGCTAATAAAAAAAAGAGAGTTTAATGAGTTTCAAGAGTTCTTTGCAGTTCAATTTTTCCTTGAAACATATTTCTCTGAGTTTGAATAGAAAAATACATTATGTTCTAAATTAACCTGGATAGAAAAAAATATTTTTAAATAGACCTTGATAGGTATTTAGTTTCATTAGTTTTTATTTTTAGGTATTTTACTTTCTTATTAGAGATAAATATTTTTATCATGTAAGACTTAAATTGTTACAATTAGAGATTACATGACACGATATTTAGGTAAAAGCTTGCTTCCATTCCCTTCTCCTCTATTTTGACTCTTCCTCCCCATATAGATAATTGGAAAAAATTATATACACCATTCTATACTGTGTCTTTTCCACATATAAGCATATCATAGAAATCATGTTACATCACTGTATAAACATCTTATTCATTCTTTCTTATGGCTACAGTGTATTCCACTGCATTATATACAGGACACAATCATTCAGTTCCCTATTGAGGGACAGTAAGTTGTTTTCAATCATTTGCTATTAAAAAAACCCACAAGTATATTTTTGCCAATGTATGTTGGTGATAGCTTCATAAAAGTGGAATTGGAGAATTAATTTACTGAGTGATTTTACTGATATTACCAACTATTCCTCTATACCATAATGTTTGGGTTTTTTCCACCCAACCTCATGAGTAATTAATGAGACTACCCATTTCTCCATGGCTTCATTAATAAAATATTATGTCATGCTTTTGGAATTTTGTCATTTGCTGCCATAAAATGCTCATTCACCTTAGAGAGTTAGAAACATTGATCAGCTGCCTCCTGCACACTCCCTACTAGGGATGTGCGCGCAACCAAGGTACATGCCCTTGACCGCAATTGAACCTGAGTCCCTTGAGTCCGCAGACTGACGCTCTATCCACTGAGCCAAACCGGTTAGGGCACCTTTCTCTTATTTATAACTGATGGTGAGCAACTTCTCATATGTTTAAGGACATTTTTTTCTGTGAATGCCTAGTTGATATCATTTTCCCATTATGCTACAAGTCATTGATTTTTAGAGCTCTTGGTAGATAGGGATATAAACTTTTTGGTCATATAAATTGAAAATATTACTTCCCAATTTGCTGTTTGGTTTTGACTTAGCTTATTGTGCAATTCCCCCAATTTTTATCCATTGAAAAATTAACACTAATTTTCTTCTAGTTAACATATAGTTCCATTTTTTTAAACTTTATTCTCTAATTAATTTGGAATTTATTCTGAGTGGGAAGGAAAAAGAATCCAACTTATCTTGTATCAAATAGCTATCCAATTGTTATAACATGACTTAAGGTCTTTCATTTAAATAAATATCTAAAATATGAAATTCTTTTTACTTCTGGCATATGTCTTAGAAATATGTTTTCCAGTTACAGTTTCTATAAAGTGAGAGAACTTAAATATAGATATGTAGAAACTATATTTTTGCAGGATTCTTTTAGATACTAGCATTTAAAAGATAGTCTTAAAACAGAAACTAAAAACATAGAGAACATTTTTTAGTGATTTTCTTTTATCACATCTTTATAAATAACTTATTTTTAATAAAAACAACGAGTTAGTATATTCTTTTCTTATATTGTATCATTTTAAATAATCAACATTAGTTTTTAATGGTAATAATAAGTAAAGTGGCATAAAGTATTTTAGAAATGAACAATTGATTCATGGCATTAGAAATTGGCCAATTTGTCACAGGTGGTGAGCATTCTATGAGCATGAGTTAGCCTTTTTCTCTTTGTCTTTTTAAATTAAATTTATTGGGGTGAAAATGCTTAATAAGATTACATATGTTTCAAGTGTCCACTTCTATATCATCTGTATATTGTATTGTATGTTTATCACCCAAAGTCGACCTTCTTTACCCTATACTATCTCCCCTAACCCCTTTCCCTCTGGTTAACTACTATACTGTTGTCTATGAGTTTTTATTTGTTTGCTTGCCTTGTTTGTTCATGTTGTTGCTTTCAGCTTTATACCCCACATATGAGTGAAACCATATGGATCTTGACTTTTTCTGTCTGATTCATATTGCTTAACATGATATTCTCAAAGTCCATTCATGTTGTCACAAATGGCAGTATTTTATCTTTTCTGATCTATCAAAAAACACCAAATTCAATAGCCTAGAAGAAACGGATAAATTCCTAGAAATATATAGCCATCCTAGGCTGAATCATGAGGAATTGGAAAGTCTAGATAGACCAACAGTGAGGACATTGAAACAATCATCATAAACCGCCCAAAAAGTAAAAGTCCAAGACCAGTCCTATCCTTCTCAAACTCTTGCAAAAAAATTGAAGAAGCAATACTTCCTAAAATACTTTATGGAGCCAACATAACCCTGATACCAAAACCTGTCAAGGATAAGACACAAAAAAGAAAACTACAGACCAATATCTCTGATGAATACAGATGCAAAAATTCTAAACAAGACACTAGCAAACAGAATGCAACAATACATTAAAAAGATAATACATCATGATCAAGTGGGATTCATTCCAGGGTCACAAGGAAGGTTCAACATATGCAAATTGGTCAATGTGATACACACATCAACAAAATGAAGGATAGAAATCAAGGTAATATCAACAGATGCAGAAAAAAACACTTTACAATATACAATGTCCATTTATGATTAGACTAGAGGCCTGGTGCACGAAATTCATGCATGGGGGTGGGGTGAGGGAATCCCTCAGCCCAGCCTGTACCCTCTCCAATCTGGGACTCCTCAGGGCATGTCCTGCTACTCTCCCCTGCCGGCCTGATTGCCCCTAACTGTTCTCCCCTGCTGGCCTGGTCGCCTCTAACCGCCTCTGCCTCGGCCCTGTCACCATGGCTTTATCCGGAAGGACATCCAGAAGATGTCCAGTCTATCCAGTCTAATTAGTATATTACCCTTTTATTAGTATAGATTAAAACAATAAAATGGGTATTGAAGGAAAGTACCTCAACATAATAAAGGCCATATATGAAAAACCCTCAGCTAATATCATACTCAATGGTGAAAATGAAAGCTTTTCCTCTATGATCTGGAGCAAGAAAAGGATGTCCACAATTACTATATTATTCAACATAGCAAGAAAGCAAGCATTAGCATTTTTAACAGAGTCAATAGAAAGTATCAGTTAAATCAAATAGTTGTTTAAGAAGAATTATTTAAAGTAGCTTTTTTTGTACACAGATTCCAGGGATCATAAAAGTTGTTATTTTACTTTTGAAATAAATGAATTTATCATTTCCATAAATAGAAGATGAAATTTGCTCTACAACTATTCAAAACATTTTTCTTTGATTTATAAATCAACAAATTAAAACATCAGGTATGAGAAATCTATTTTTCCAGAACTATATTTTAGAAATAGTTTTAGAATGGTTATAAAATAATACTTGCAATAAAAACAGGAAAAAAAACCTAAAAGTTTTAAGCACTGAGAAAAAGTTTCAATAGGTTTAAAGCTCATTTCTAAAATAAATTCAGCTTCTTAGAAAAGTCAGATATGAGTTAATTTTTATATCTAAATATTATTTAGTCTTCTTGCTTGTGTTGATGCATTTAAAATTCAAATGTATCACTATTCCAATCTTGATTTCAGGCCAAACTTAATGTGGCTACATCTCCCTGGATCTATGTTGTCTCTGGTTACTGGCCAATAATGACACCCTTTTCTGTCCCCGCTGGTCTTGCCTAAGGCACAAAACTACATTAATCACTACTGATGGATGATACACTTGACTTCAATCTATACCATATTTACAGATTATTTTATGAATTTAATTCTTAGTTTCCCAGTAAATGATAAATACTTTTAGAGGAGTAATTATAACAAAGCATTCTATTGCAACCACATACTAGTATACATTTAAAGTATATGACATTGGAGGGTATAAATAGTTATGAATTTCTTACTTTCCTTTACTTTCACTTTTATAATAACTGATTTTGCAAAACCAAATGCAAAATCTATAGGTTTATAATGATTGGTATACTGAGAAAAATAACTAAAATAAAGATCAATCTTAAACATCTTGATACAAAGTATAACTATTATTGTTTTAAAAAGGTGTAAAATGTGTGCTTTATATACAGTTTGAATTAAGTGTGTGCAGTATAGATTTTTCTTGATGTATTATTGAATTTTAATAATCTAGATTAAACCACATTCTAATGTATTCAGTGTAGGTCTGACTTCCCTTTACTAATTTTGATGTGTTTAATACTATCTAAAGTTTTGTAAGAAAACATGCAAACTACCATAAAATAAAGATTGACATTTTTTTAAAATTCTTCCTATAGTTATACATATGAGCACAGAAATGAAAACAAGAGCTTTTATATATTGCTATTTATGAAATGTTTATAATAGTTTTGATACTATTGAAAGAATCTTCCCTTTTCACATAAAATGTATGATTAAAGCCAAAAAAGCTATTCTATGTGGTGTATAATCTACATAGAAGTGTACCTAACTAAATTGTCAGAATTGTGAAGATTAGCTATCATGTATGTATTTTCCTTTTCTTTTACACATTGTCTATATACAAAAGACATGGGTGAAAATATATTACAATATTTAGTATTCAAGACAAAGTATGTTATATATCATAAAGCAAAGGAAACATGTTGGCATTCTATAATTTAGGTCATGAAGATTACCTTTCTCATACTCGGGATCTTTTAAGTGTAAGTATATATTTAGTTATTACAAATATAATAACTAAGAATTTTTCTTTTAATTTTGAGATAGATAGTACATATTTGCTCCAATACCTAAATCATGTCCCTGGTAGTAAATTGTATAGTCATTAACATTTTACATAATATTTGAAATTCTTCAATAACCTGGAAAGTATTTTAAGTGGAATAGACATATGATATGCAAAAAAAGTATATGCATATTCATAAGATTCTGGACATAATATAGCAAATGTGTGTGGGCAACAGTGGGTGTTCTTATGATGCTTTTGCATTTCCACACTTGGTTTAAAATAGCCGTTGGTAATTTTATACACTCATGGAAAGATACTGATCCTTCTAGGACACTGAGATGCTAAAAGTCATTGAGATAATTTCTTACCTATTTACCTTTCTTTAACTCTGATGAACTTCATTTTGCTTCCAAAGATGTCATTTACAAGCGTGGATCACTAGGAAAAAGAAAAAGTCACACTTAGGGATTGAAGATCATAGAGCGTGACTACACCAGGAGCCACAGTCTCCCTATTGTTTTCCAGAGGCAATATCAAATGAAAATCAGTTTCAAGGTAAGAAACTGGGAAAAGAGGTAGAAAAGTTATAGCATAAAGCTGTCTATGCCTTCCAGATGAGCTTCAGTCACCCCTACAGGGAATGTGTTGATTTTATTAAAGAAAGATTAGGAGATGAATAAGATTGAAAACATCCTGCTGTAGTTATAATTCTCCTTCACCTCCCCTGGCTTTTCCCCTAAATAATGCCAGACAGGTGCTAAATCCCCTGGGAAGGGGCAAGGAGGTGGCAGGAGACAAGTGGGTTTAAGGCCAGGACCAGCCCCAATCGCCAGGGCAGGGCATTCTTGACTGGGAGGATTTTGCTCAATGGATGATCATGTATGGGTTGACTTGCCACCTGGATGATTATAAAATACTTCTTAAAATTTCCATAACTGGTTTAATTTTTAAAGAAAATAAATGCATGTATTTTAACATTAGAGTTAAATATCACTGATAGCTGCTCCACAGATGAGTAAATAAAAATACTAATAATTCTTTTAGATGTATTACCATTATGATCTTGTTAATCTCCATTTTATACATATGAGAAACATTAAGTAGTGGAGCTAGAATTTAAAACTTTATAGCATTTCATTTTATCATTTTCCATCTCTAGTCTTCCAATGTAATAGCCAAATGCTAGAAACAAAAGCTTTTTTTTTTTTTTGGTCCTTCTAGACTCATCCTCTAATTTTTTAAAATTTGTCCTTATTGTTGAAAGTATTACAGATGTCCCCTTTCCCCCTCACTGATCCCCTCCACCCCGCACATGCCCCCCCCACACACACACTCAGGCTTTCACTGCGCTATTGTCTGTGTCCATGGGTTATGCATCTATGCATATTAGTTCTTTGGTTAATCTCTTCCTCCCTCCTCCCTCCATCCCTCTGAGAAACAAAAACATTAAAAAAATAGATAAAATTTGGGAATAGGTGTGGTCTTGTTTTTGTTACTATGTTCTTTGCTAAATTCCAATCAGTAGCCATGATATTAAACAAATTATTCTATGAAAATCAACCCCATTTTTAAAAATGCCACTTGACACTGAGCAGACAATTAGACAAAAGCCTATGCCCTTTTTGAAAATTTAAAGCAATATGTAAGTCCCCTGTGAAATGCAACTGATATATTGAGGCATCCTCTGCACTGTGGTGCAATATAAGTTGCCAATATACAAATATACCCAGGTTTAAATATAGGGAGCCTGTCCATTTATTTTAGATAAAAAGGTAGATTAAGTATGCAGAATTTAGATTTTGCAGGTGAGGAACTAATCACCCATGGCAGCTGTCATATTTAGAGCAGCATATGAGAGGTAGGAGCGAAGTACAAGTGTCAGGGAAAGAAAAGTCCTTTTAAGCATCAAGATTTTTCCAACAGATGGCTTGGTAATTTATTTTTTATATTCTATGAGTTCTAATTTTCTCCATAGCAGATATATTTTACTAATGCCTCATGTGTTGAATTAATTTGCTGGAGAAATCAAATGATGCAAAGTAGGTTTACAAAATTTTAAATATGGAACTGAAAAGCAATCTTTTGGGTTAT